GAAACAACAGCAACAACAACAGCAACAACAACAACAGCAACAACAACAACAGCAACAACAACAACAGCAACAACAACAACAGCAACAACAACAGCAACAACAACAGCAACAACAACAACAACAGCAACAACAACAACAACAGCAGCAACAACAACAACAACAACAGCAACAACAACAACAGCAACAACAGGAACAGCAGCAGCAACGAGAGCAAGAACAACAAACATTGCACTTGGTAACATCTGCTGCTCATGATACTGTCATTGTATCAACAGCACAAAGGAAGGATACTGTCGGTGCATTGATACCAACGGTACCATCATTACCGGTATCATCGGTAACAACACTTACAGCTAATTTGGCAAACGTCATTGGACCACCATCAAAACTACCATCAATGTTTCCTACACATTTATTTTCTGCTACTCCTTTACTTGTTACATCACCTGGTTCTGTTCCTCCATCAATCTTTCCACCATCCGGAACTACTCCAACATCACTTTTGACACCTGCAACTGCTAGTGCATCATCACAAGTAACTGCATCTGCAGCACAACAACTTCCAGCATTACATATATGCACTCTTCAAGCTGCACTACAACAAGTACAACAGGTAGATTATTTTAACTTATAATATATACAAATAAGTGTATACAATATATAAAAAGATAGGTTACTTTTAACTTCTATGAGATTTTTGGAAATACATCAATACTACTTTTGGTAGTGATGTAATGTGCATGCATCCTGGCATTGACATATTTGACGTATAATTTGGCTTCTTTTTTTTTTCTTTTTCCTAGGTAGAGAGGCAAAAGATTTATTTGTTTAGGAAAGAAGAATGAAATTATTTCAGAATTATTGTTCATCATCAGGATCAGCAACAATTTCTTCTGGACATGGTGCTTTTCAACCGTTTCATAGTTCACGTGATCCAACAAATTCCACACAAAGTTATAGTCCTGATTCATCAACAACTGATGCTACACCATTAGATTACTCAATGCATGGTACAATTAATACAGATTCCTTATTTAATATATCACTTGATATGATCAAAGTGTGAAAGTACCATAATATACTAATTAAATTCTTATTTTTTTTTTTTTTGTTTTAGAAACACCATCAGATCCATCACATATTTTACGATATCATTTATTGGAACGACAACCAGATTTATCAACAGAAACTGAAACGGAGCAGCAAATATCGAATGATGCATTGGCACAATCATCATCTTCTTCAGATAAAGCTCGAGAAAGTGATCCGGATGATAAACCGCGTTCTCTGCTTGGTTCACTACTTTCCACTAAACGAACCTCACCATTGGTTCCACAGAGTCGAACTGATACTCATTCCGGTCTCAGCAATGCATCACCCAAAGATGTAAAACTAAATCCGAAAAACAAAATTTTCCTTTATTAAAAGTTTCAAAAGTTTTTTTTTCCATTAATTTGCATTTTAAAATTCAAATTTATTTAAATTATAAAACAAGGGAAGCATAGTTTTTTCTCTGATCCTTTTGAAGCTAATGTTAAAAGACATGCAAAATTAACCGACTTTTCAAAATTACAACATTAATTTGAAAAGTTTAAATAGTTTAGCTACGTTAGCAGTGTCCAAAGAAAATGAACTGTCACATCCTCTCCGGATCTTCCATTTTTTTGTTAGTCATATTCCGCAGCTGAAATTGTACAAATCTTGAAATTAAAATCGACTACATTAAAAATTTTCAAATTCAATTCTGTTTTTTTTTGAAAGTCTTTTAAAATCCACTTTAACAGTTTTAATAGATTTTTTATAATTTTGAAATCGATGTTAAAAGTAATTTCACAAAATGAATGATTTATTTGCAGAATGATTTGAAAAACTGTTTGAGTAGTTTGGCAGTAAATTTGAGTACCGCCTTAACAGTACCAACATCAAATGTATCATCTAAACCTGGCGCAATATGTTCCGGTATTTTAAATACTAAAAGTGATAGCAGTGATAATATGGAATCACCAACCAGTAACAATAGTACAACCGATTCAATGAGATCACAACTTAGTCCAGCACCAAAACATTCCGCAATTGTCAAAGCTTTACGGTCACGACCATCTAGCAAGGTAAAATTTGGCCATTATCATTTATTCATCTTTATTAATATAGTAATTATTGTATTTAATTGAAGATTGTTTGATTCATTTAGATATGTATATATACATATATATCTGAATTTAAATTTAAAATGAATTTTGTGGATTCTTCTTTAGTAATTACTGTAAGCACTTTAGCAACAGTACATGGATCGTCGACGACGTAACAATGAAGCAGCAAAACGATGTCGCGCAAATCGTCGAGCGCAATTCGAATATCGTAGCAAACGTGCTCAACAATTAGAAGCAGAAAATGATGAACTTCGACGGGAGATGAATCGTTTGAATCAAGAATTGGAACAACTTAAAGCATTACATGCAGCTAAAAATGCTACCATTCTTCAACGATAATTTATTTTTAAGAATTTTTTTTTTTAAGAGAAAAAAAGAAAAAAGGAATTAATCAATATTTCCTATCTTTCATTACTACATTCTAATAAATTGAGGGGAAAAAAAAACGGAAAGGATAATTTCAATGAGTTTAATAATTAATAGTGAAATAATCATTTTTATTACAGAAAGTTTATTTCATATAAATTTATAAAGAATGAAATGCGCCAAATTAGTTGTACTCTTTCTACTTGATATCACTCTTTTCTTTTCTTTTTTTTTTTTTTAATATTTTCGTAGTCGAATTATATTTTGATTTTATATAAAATCCGGTTTAGTATTTCAGAAAATTTTATGTTCCTTTGACGGATAATATAACTTGAAAAGTTTTGAAAAAATTTTCGTTTCGGAAAATGATTTAAATTGTTGCTGATGAAAAGCAAAAAATTACATATTACTAATTGTTATGCATATTGTTTAATTTAATCTCCTTCATTTTGCAGAGAAGAAAATTTTAATCGCTCTGACATTTGACCTCAATTTTTCTTTTTTTTTTTCTTTTTTGCTATTGTTTTTAGCTGAAAAATCAACGTGTCATTTACAAGGCGTATGTTCAAATGTACTTCGAATTTGTGTGTTTGTGTGTGCTTTTTTCTTTTCTTAAAAGAACTGTTTGATATGCTTTACGGAATTATACGTCGCTGTGTGACCTTTGACCTCAGTTTTTTACTTCTTTTTATAATGTTTTTGATCTTTTTTTTCTTTTTCTTTTTTTTGCTCATATCATATCATGCATTACATGCATTTAAATAAACTATTTTGATGATTATGCAAAATTCGATTGCTATTTGTTAATTTTAACAAATTTCGATTTCAATTGTTAATTATATTAGTCAAGAATTTTTGATATTAAAACATACTAAAAGATTATTGACTATTTAATTTTAATTTTCCTCCGGTTAATTAATTTTCTGTGTAAAAATTGTTTACTTAAAAATAAATGGAAAATATTGTTATCCATGGATGGCTGAATTATATAACGATTCCAATTTCGCGTATACTTCAATTATTTTTTAAATATCTCTCAATTTACTTCAAATATAATTAATTTCTTTTAATTTCTTTTTTTTTCAAAAAAAATTCCATTTAAAATTTACTATTACCTCTTCTGCTGTTTTTTCATGGTAAATATCAAAAAAGTTGAATATTGAACATCAGGAAAATTGAATAATCACATCAGGAAAATTGAATAATTAAATCAAGAAAATTAGATAATACATTAGGAAAATTGAATAATAACATTAGGAAAATTAAATATTACAATCAAAAAAAGTGATTATTACATGTGGAAAAATTGATGAGACTTAGTGTATCACATTGTTAGAATTTTTATTTATTCATAATCTTTTTAAGTTATTAGCATCAATTAATTGCATGAAATTAACATTTTGAAATTGTCATTAGTTACCTTAATTAAAATTGAAATACTAAAACAGTTGAGTGGTATAAATGACAAATGCATTAATATTATTTATTATTTCTCTTTATTATTCTCGAAAACATTCTTGATCTTTTACTCTGAAAATTAAATTTAATTATTAATATATTAAAATTCTTGCACTTTTACTTATTACTAATAAATGTTTCGTTTGATAAGTTTATCAAATTTTTATCACAATTAATTAATGTTGCATTCATCAAATGTTACCAAATAATTAAAAGTTACGAAAATTTGAATAGTTTATTGCATTTAATTATTTCAAACATTAGTTGAGATTAATTGTTTTTTTTTTTTTTTTTTACCTAATAAACTATAACCTTTAATTGATAAAGTTTGAAATGCTTACGGGTTGTTGTGTTACTGCACTATCCGGAATGCCTTTTAAGGATGAATTTTTCTTGTTATAATTAACAACTTTCTTTGATGAGCTCATATCTTTGCCTGAATCAAGTGTGATTGCTGTCACATTATCCGATTGTAATCCTTGTGGGCCAATCAGTTTAGCAATTTTTTCCAGTTTTTTCACTGCCTTAAAAAATATTTGAGGCATAGCAAAAAAGCAAATATATTTTGTAAATGAGTTTATTTAAAAAAAAAAAAAAAAAAAAAAAAAATAATGAAAGGCAATTTCATAACTATCATAATTTGCACTTTTCTTTTTTTTTTCTTTTTTTGTCATCTCAGATCTGTTAGCATTCTAAAGCTTAGTTAATATCAATTCAAAATTTTCAACAATTTTCAAAAAATTTATTTTTCTTTTTTTTTTGTTTGCTTTTTTCTTTTTCTTTTTTTTTTTTTTTTTTTAAATAAATGCTCAATTTTTACATATATAACTTAAATAAGCTATATAGTAATTTTTGAAAATGATAAATTTTTAATGAAAAGTAAAATTACAGCATTCATTGTCCAACGTGATGCTGCATTTTGATCCCAACAATGTCTAATTAATGATGATATACCTTGAGGTGCTACCGGTATTTCCATTCTTTCACCACGTAATACCTATAATTATTTGTTTTTTTTTTTTTTGCATATAATACAATTTCATTTAAAAAATAAAAATATAACAATTATGACCATTTTTTTGACTTCTGAATTGGTCATTCCCTTGTACGGTTCTTCGCCATCAGTGAATATTTCGCATACCATTATACTAAATGAATAAACATCTGTTTTTAAACTATAAACAAATGTAGCAATAGTTTCTGGAGCTGTCCATTTAATTGGTACTTTCTTCGATGTTTTCATTTTATAAATTGTCCCCTCGCGTGACATACCAAAATCACTTATTTTAGCCTGCAAAAATTTGTCACATTTTATAATATTTATGTTACTTTTTGCATGCTCTTTTTCTCCCTTTTTTTTTCCTTTTTTAAATAATTAAATATTGGAATAAAAAAAACAAAAAATAAATAAAAAAAATAAAAAATAAAAAAAATAAAAAATAAAAAAATAAAAAATAAAATAAAAATAAAAAATTGATAATTAGATATTTTGACAAAAAAAAAAATAGTAAGAAAAAAGCAAAAAAAATAGATTAATAAAAAAAATAAAATAAAACAAGAAAATTAATTTTTAATAATTTAAAATAAAAAATAAAAACAAAATTAAAATAAGAAAGAATAAATATAGACCAGACCACTTTATCCGTAGTATATAAAATATTTCGTGCGGCTATATCACGATGAATGCATTTCTTTGAATGCAAATATTGCAAACCATATGCAGCACCAAGACACATTTTTTCTACCTTTTCATCATCTGATATACTACCTTTTCGTTGTTTTAAATCTTCCGAAAGGCATCCACCTTTAATCTTTAAATGTAATCAATAATTTAATGAATTAATTATTACAGTAATATTGTTTTATAAAATTATATTAAAAATAAAAGAAAACATTTAAAATTCATCAATTTACTTCGCTAATTTTTTTTCCTTTTACTTTTTTTTTATTCTTACTCGTTTTTTTAATATTTAAATTTTAATTTTATGATATTTTTTTTTAAAATAAAATGAAACAAATTTCTTTGAATAAAATATCATCGTTTATTACCAATTCAATTACAATCATTAATGGTTCACGATCAACTGCAACACCATAAATGCGAACAATATTATCGTGATCATAATGACGCATTAAACGTGCCTCATGCATCATTTCTTTAATTTTCTCTTTTCGAAATGCCATTTGCGCTTCTGTTATCGTAACTTTAGCCTGAATTTATTGTTGATAAAAGATAATAATTGATAATATCCTTCTGAAAATAAAATTTAAGCATAAATCATAATTATTATCGTATAATTATTAATTGGATTGATTTTAATAAATGTACCAAAAAAAAAAAATTTTTTTTTAAACACTAACAATTTTGACAGCACATTCAATTTTTTTCTTGTTAATGGTTAATTCACCTGACCGTACTTCACCAAATGCACCAGAGCCAAGCATTTTATTAAGTGTAATATCATCATGACTAAATTCCCATGGTTGACGCTTAATTGCTTTAATCAGCACACTATTTTCCAGCTGCATAATATGAATGTTTTTTTTTTTTTTCATATTTTTCAAACAAAAAAAAAAATTTAATTAAATTAATTGTTGAAAATTATGAAATATATTTCAAATTATTCTGATCATTTCCTTTGTCTTCATAATTGTTTTTCATTTTTTTTTTTTTTTTTTTGATTATAAATTTTTTTTAATTGTATAATTTATAGGCGAAAAATTTGACTATTTTTATAATAATATTAATAAAAATAATTTTAAAAAAAATTGAAAAATTCTTTCACAGCCATTTATTAATTTAGACAATTAAAAAAAAAAGATGTCACTGAATATTAAGAATTTTTCAAATTATTCGAAAATAATTCTAATCGTTTATTAAAAAAAAAA